ATCACTTCCAAAATAGTTTAGCAGTTTTATAATGTTAAACATGTACTTAAATACATCTAACAATTTCCTGCCTATGTATCTATCCAAAAGAAACGAAAAGATTTGTCTACACAGGACATGTACACAAATGCTCACAGCTAAAAACTGCAAATAATCCTCTAGCCATCAACTGCTGAATGCATAAACAAAATGTAACAAATCTATAAACTTGAATACTATTCAGCACAAAAAGGAATAAGTTACAGATACATGCTACATACAACACAGGTGAACCTCAAAAAACAGTATTCTAAGTGAAAAGAATCATCTATTTTACATGACTGTTTCACAAGACTACTTCAAAATACTTTCACTTGTTCTAAGTGTAAGTAGGTAAAAGTTTACACACTGTGTGACATTGAAATGTCTAGAAATGACAACTGAAATAGAAAGGACAGCAGTGGTTCCCTTGGGCTGGGAAGGCAATAAGGGCTGACAGCAAATGAGTACAAGGGAGCTTTTTGGAGTAATGAAAACGTAAAACTGGATTGTGGTGATGCTGCAACACATTTATTAAAAATTGTGGAATTATATACTGACAATGGGTGAATTATACAGAATTTATACTTTTTAATAAAGCTTTAAAAAGGTAACTAATAATGGGTAAGGAGTGGGAGGTATAGATGAAACAAGACTGACAATATACTGATAGTTGTTGAAGGTGGGTGATAGGTGGTTCCACTATTCCTTCTACTTTTATGTATGTTCGAAAACTGTCATAATAACTTAAAAAAAAAAAAAAACACACTGTTGACAAATGTATGGGAAAAGAAGTGCTCCCTTACACTGCTGCTGGCAAGAATATAAGCTGGTTCAACCTCTATAGAGATTTGGCAACATCCACCGAAGGGATAAATCTCATACTCTTTGATCTAGCAATTCTACTCCTAGAGTACACCTAGGATATACAAATATTCTTATACATAATCCAAAGGCCACTTACACGTGGTAGTTCATTAAAGGGTTGTTGATACAGCAAAAGATTGGAACAAAAACTAGTAGTTCTATCTCTGCACAGGTATCCTCTCACACAAGTCGGTGCTTCTTCTCATCACCTATCTCCTGTCTCTGGGCTCTAGTTATACCTCCTCTTTCCTTGTCCTTCTATTTCTAGAGTTAATAGCAACTTGCCACAATTGCTACTGTCTGGGTTCACCAACCCATCGATTCTCTCAGATTTTCTAACATCTTTAAAAGCGATTCTATGAATTAAATTCCTTTTACTGAATTATCTAGTATGTTTATAGTTTACATTTTTCTAACTGAATCTTGACTGAAATATATCTTAATCAAAAAGAAAATGAAAAAGGAAACCAGTGAATTTGCTGAAGATAATTCCCAACAAGACAAAGAGGAAATTGTTTTTTATCCCAATTCCAAAATTAAAATGAAAAACCTTTTCAAAATATCATGGCTTTAAAAAAAATCTATAGCCAATAGGCTTCATCCAAGAAATTAACTATTTAAAAATATATAATTCAGTGCACTGATCCTGAGAGAATTTATTATAAGAATTCTGTATAAGAAGCAATGAGCAAAATTTTGTCAATTCTACAATAATTACAGAAGCATTTCATTTATTTTTTTCTTCATTCCATAGTGAAGGCTGACAATATAAGGTTGTGGTCTCGTTATATGGACCAAAAATATTAGCAAAAAGGAAGTATAAAAGTTAAAAGGTTCAGATCTGCAGCTTTTCAGTAATTTTGACTTCGCACAAGATTAAGGCATTCAAGTATCAGAAAAATTTAAATATGTATTTATACCCTTCATAAATGACTATATATCTTCTAAAGAATAATTGGTCATCCTAATAGCAGTACCTTTACTCTAGTGCTTTTACTCTAATTTTTGTGTATCTACACTGACCAAGAGAATTACCAAGCGTTCTTTCCTTTAATTACATCAGATAAAACAGTAAATACAAAATTTCAAAACTATACCTGTACATACTTCCATATTCTGATATATAGTAATGTGGATATGAATAGGGTATCTCTCACCTGATCAGTCTCCATCCCTACTTACACAAATATACCAGCTAACAATTCCTCTTTTTGCCCATAAAATGACTGACTAAAGTCTCAAACATTTTACTCTCAAATCAATAAAAAGAGCAACAAAGACCAGAACTACTGTAGACTTTATAAACACTGTCCACTTCGATCAAATTTAAAAAATTTTTTCTTTAATAATAAACTTATTGTGACTTTTTAACTTTATAACCTTTTAAATTTTTTTTTAGCTTTTTTTATGTGTGTGCGTTTTTAGGTTAAAACAAACACATTTGTACAGCTATATAAATTATTTTCTTTATGTTCTTATGTAAGTTTTTTATTTTAAAAATTTTTTATTATCTGTACTTTTAAAACTTTTTTGTAAAAAACTAAGAAACACAGGTCAGGATCATAAATATCACTGTCTTCCATCTCCACATCTTGTCCCACTGGGAGGTCTTCAGGGGCAGTAACACACATGGAGCTGTCATCTCTTATGGTAACAATGCCTTCTTCCATAAAACCTTCTGAAAGACCTGACTGAGGCTGTTTTACAGTTAACTTTTTTGTTTAATAAGCAGAAAGAGTAAAGTCTATCATAACAATAAAGAGCACAGTGCAGCATACACACAGAAACCAGTAACATGGTGATTTATTATCAAATATTATGTTCTGTGCATAAGCCTACATGGTGCATTTTTATATGACTGGCAGAGCAACAGGTTTGTTTCCACCAGCATCACGACAAACATATGAGTAGCACGCTGCACTGTTATGACAGCTAGGACGTGACCAGGAGATTGGAACTTTTCAGCTCCACAGTAATCTTATGGGGCCATCATCTCACATGAAACATCTTCACGTAGCACTTGACTTAACTCTCCTTTCTCCTAGCCATGAGGTGTGCTCTGTCATCAGACTGGCCCAAAAATCTTACCACATTCTCAATATAGTGGTTAACCCAAGCAGAGGGAACATAACCCAGGCTGGGCCAGAGTTCTTCTCAAGATACTTCTGGAACTGAAAGTGCGAGGAAAGGGTATCTTCCTCCTTGATATATTTAAGAAAGCTTAATTCTAGAACTGTCAGCAGCCTGACAGAATGAAGCCCAAAGAAGAAAGATGGAAAGGGAGAGGAAGTTCTAGATGACATTCTGTTTTATCCTCTGTATTCAGAAAAGTCTGAAACAAGTTCTAGTCCTTGTTAAGCTACTTCTAGTAAGTTTTGTCAAGTATAATCAAAAAGTCCAAATAAATTCCTATGTTCCTTTAGACATCATAAAATAAACATTAAAATACTATTTTCTAAATGTAGTTTTATTTATTTTTTGAGTTGGAGTCTCAGTCCGTTGCTTAGGCTGGAGTGCAGTGGCACGCTCCCGGTCACTGCAGCCTCAACCTGCTGGGCTCAAGCGATCCTTCCACCTCAGCCTTCCAAGTAGCCAGAACAAGGTGCACGCTATCAGGCCCGGCTAATTTTTGATTTATTGTAGCGATGAGGTCTCACCAAGTTGCCCGGGTGGGTCTCCAACCTGTGGGCTCAGGTTATCCACTTGCCTTGGCCTCTCAAAATGCTGGGATTACAGGCTGAGTCACTGAGCCTGGCCCTAAATGTAGTTTTTTTAAAAACTACCTCACTATTACAAATCTAAATGATGTTATACTCTAAATTCTCCTTCCCTCCTACAATTTTAAATATAAACAAACAATATTTGACTGATGAGATTTTCTTTAGGATAATTAAGTGATTAGCTGTCTCAAAGAGGAATCTATAAAAGCCAGAATCCAAAGTTCACTGCTCCAGGGCCATTTAATTTCACTGGGGGGGGGGGGGGGGGAAA